AAAATATCTGTGGCGGTGGCCTGACTAGCAATGGAGTTGCAACTGGGAGGCAGGCATCGGGGTGGAGGGAGATAATGCCAATTCCTCGGAAATAAGTATAGAAATCTTTTGAGTTAAACCTGTTTGCTTACATAGATTGGAGGGAACCAAGTCGTAGGGTCTCCTTTCACATCCACTCCTTGTTTGACATAAGAATTGGATTGTTATGAATATAATTTCAATTGCAACGATGGATTTAACCGAAATGTTGATGAAATTTTTAGCAAAGTAGTAGTAGTAATCTGGCCAGTGCAGCCGTCATTGGCTACCTTGATTAATTAATAATTTGTTAATTAAGCCTCGGTGCCAAAAATCAAAGAGGAGTTTTAGACTCTGAATGTCACCCTCTTTCACTTTACGAGATTACTTGGGTGTTTCGGGATACTCTGTAGACAATGGAAAATAATCATAATTATTTTTAAATTTGATTATCAGGATTTCCACGTACGGTCGCACAAGCTGAGAAACTTCAGCAACTGCATCCAATGAATCACGTCCTGAATTTGATAGTCCCTCACTCAATGATAATGGAGAGAGTGAAAAATCGATGGGTGCACCTGCCAAGTGGACGAGTTTACAACGTTGGTTTCAACGATCCCAAAGTTTTGGTAAATCTCCTGTTATGCCTGAAGACGTTATCAGCGTCGATGGACAACGGCTAAAATATTAATTATTTTAATACTCTCAACGATTGGCTAAAGCTATCCAAAATTTTTCTACTTTTTCCAAAGTTACTGTTGATTATCTTGTATATAATTGTTAATCGAGGGACGACGCTTGGCGTGATTATATCTCTTACCATTGTCTTCGTAATTGAATAATTACTAAAGATGGATTATAAGGAGTATTTCGGGGAGAGAAGAGGTTCTCGAAATAACCAAAAGATTTGTTTTGTTTAAATGATTTCCGCGTATAATTTCAAATACTCTAATTTTGAAAGTTACATGGATCGTGACAATATTTAATTTTCTATCAACTATGATTTCTGGAATCGGACCAAATTACTAATGGATTTCTCCTAGAAAATCTCTTATCAAATTTCAAGTCAGAATCAGGTACTCACTCGAAGTGGCAGTTTATCCAAATTTGAGCCAGGTTCACTAAATTTATAAAGCTTGTCAACACTTTTTGTTGACTGTTTTTGGTTGTGAGTTTCTATTCTTTTCTGGCACTTTCTGCACTGTATTTGTAGATACTCATGTACTGAGATAAACTTCCTCTCACTGTATTGTGAACAAAGTCAAGATATGGTTCGAAAAGTTTGTTTCTATTGAGCACGTCAGCACTATATTGAAAATTAAATTTAGAGTCTGACCCTTTATGAGCGAGAAAAGTTGCTACTCTCGATTTGAGAGAGGTGAGTCCTCAGAATATCACCAACGATCATTTTTTCAACAAATTTCGAATGAGAAGTCCCCGTATACGTAGTATCGATACTTGTTGATCAAATTACTACCGGAGTTGAATACCGTCCGATCGATTCCGCGAGCTATTTCCTCCGGGTTTTATGTCTCCGAATTCTGGCTAACGACTAGCTTAGTCTTCGTGGCAGTTTTGCCCCGTGGCAAGAATCAGGAAGTTCTAGAATATTCTTTTATGAATTTTGATTAGGAAATAGTCGCGAAATCGGTCATTGAACATGTTGAAATTTGTGGCAGCGATGCACTGTGTGCTGCTGTGGCATTTGTTGAATGTCGAAAGCGCATACCTTTACTCTTGAAATATTTGAGTCTTTTTGAAGAAATAGAATTTTGGATATCACACTCCCGAATCACTCAATCTTTTCATACAACTTGGGAAATTTGTTAGAAAAAATTTTGATTATTTTCACTGTTAGAATTTAACCCGATTCCAAACAATAGAATCGTTGCATTTCACCTCAAGTAGGAGAACATGGCGGTTTTTATTTCGGATATTACCCGTTGCCATTAGCTCTAGACGAAAGATTCACAAACTATTCGCGATCGCAATGTAAATGTTGCAGCAACTAAGTGGTCTCTAAACTAAATACTCTTGGAATGTAACTAATAATATCGCAATGTTCTCCTTAATCTCATTGGTTGGCCCCGATCATTAGTTTGTCCTGCCGGAATCTCATGAATAACCCTCAGGGTAGTTCGTTTAGAGACCATTTGATAGTTCCTATATCTACGTTGCGAGCGCGAAGCTTTTAGCCCACATTCAAGGGAAAAAGTAATCATCAAAATATCTGACAGGCATCAAAATGAATGGCGTGTTTTCGTTAAGCTTTCCTGTAAACAAATGTCTTGGTCAAGTCTTTTAGGAACACTCTTATCACAAGCTCTAAGGATTTCTAACTTTTCAAAACTTTACACTCTCATTCGTTTGCGATGATGCTATCAGGAAAAACTCCTTCATTTTGAAATTCTTGGGTTATTACTACTGAAAATATCTGTGGAACTTTGCAATAAATTTCTCCAACTCCCATTGTATGATAGGTATTTGAATTTATAAGAATTGACTCGCATGGGGAATGAATATGAATCTTGCAAAAATCTCAGATAGGACTAAAAAAAACCGTGAAGGCGCCGTGAAGGTACTTTTCCAGTCAGTTATGCCAAAACAGTGGACAATGCGCTGGGAAATTTCGAGGAAAAATCTTCTTAATAGTCAGAAATGTGCCGCAAGGAGTCCAATCACCATCAATCTGTTTGTCTTTGGTAAAAAAAGAAATTAAAAATATCATTATCATTGGCTTCCGGATGAATGCCGCGTTTGGTTTCAGCATGGCGTCGACGTTTCGCAAACATTGCAGTCTGCATCTTCACGGCTGTGAGCTCCGATTCTGAGCTCCGACGTGCGGGGATCGTCCTTGTATGCCCTCCCTTAGGTGCGGCCGGGAAGGGGGGGGTGTAGGAATTGAGGTTATTGAGGGATGTAGCAATTCACTAACAAATGTAATTAGTATTTAAATTACAGTTTAATCAAGACGTTTAGAATATATATACAAAAGAAAGAATAATCAAAGTGATCTGATCGGAGGTCAGTGTTAGACTCTACTGACTATAATAAATCGCGTAAGACGGGAATTTGGATATGCGTGACAATAGGTGCGAACGAGAGGTATTTTATACTGGGCGCGTGAGAGAGCGCGATGATGTCACCGATGTCTAGTCGTCTCTCAGCGTTGTCGTATCCGTGCGTGTGTTACGCGTTGGTGTTTGTGTAGTGAGACGCTACATGACTCCCCTGCTTAAGTGAAAAAAGGTAGTTTTTCAGCACTGCAACAGAAAAAGATTCATCTCGGAACAGGTGAAATGTAACAAGCAGGTGAAAAAAAATTTTGATAAGGATATTTAGACAGTATAGACGTGGATTCTCGGTCTGTTCGCGAAGTTTACGCGTCTCCTCGGCCTCTGAGTCCTGTTCGCCGTGCTTGTGCTCGGCTGCGGCTAATTCTGTTGTTGTTGAGGCTCTTCTGGTACGTCTGGTAGTGGAGGCTGTCCTTGGACCTGCTGCATGTCCTCCGGCAGTAAGTACGCTGGTTTCAGTTGGTCGATGGAGATCGGTGTATTCTTGTAGTTACCCAATCCTCCGGACTTGTACCAAATGACGAAGTCATGACGGTCCGGTTTTGTCATGACGACTGATTACGCGGCATGGGCCGATGTATGGTGATCGGTATGCCATTCGCACGTGGTCATCGCGGACAAAAAAATGTATACACGTCGCTAGATCCTTGAAGATGAAGGTTGAACGTGTACCGTGATGTGCAGCGGGATTTGGCACGATCCTGCGGAAATGCTCGCGTAGATTTCTCACCAATTCCGGTGCTGCTGCTTGTTGGTTCGATGGGGTAGATGGATCGATTCCCCGTATGTTAGCTCGGCGGGAGTCGTTTGAAGGTCCTCTTTCCACGCGGATCTCAACCCTAGAAGTACCAGGGTAAGTGCATCGTACCAAGCTTCGCCATGACATCGCAGTCCTGCTTTCAGTTGGCGATGTATTCTCTCAACCATGCCGTTTGATTGAGGATGAAATGGCGTCGTCATCAACCTCTCGGTGCCCAGAATTCGCGTAAGCTCCTTGAAAGTGTCTGAGAAGAATTGACCGCCCTGGTCAGATGTGATTCTCAGGGGGATGCCGAAGCGCGCGATCCAGTGATAAAGAATCGCGTTGACTACTGTTGGCATCCTCGAGTCGATCAGTAGAACTGCTTCTGGGTATCACGTAAATCTGTCGACGATGGTCAAGCACCAGCTGTGTCCTTTTGAGGTAGGAAGAGAGACAAAATCGACGTGTATGTGTTCGAATCGTCGTGATGGTGTCTCGATGTTAGCTATTGGTGTGACCGTGTGTCGCGTTATTTTGTTTTTCTGGCACTCCAGGCAGTGTTTGGTCCATTGGGCACAGTCTTTGTTTATGCTAGGCTACACGTAGCGTTGTGTCACGAGTTTTCGCGTGCCTTTGGGTCCAGGATGAGCCATTGAGTGCAGTGAGCTGCAGACCTGTTGTCTCAGCGGAGCAGAAACGTATGGGAAACTGTACCTGATGATACATCACAGTACAGTGGTTCGTCCATTCCTGGGAGTTGTAAGCGGTCCAGTCGCTGGTTCACGTCCGGTCGCTGGAGTAATTGTCGGAGTTCTTGATCGTCGCGTTGGGCATCTACCAGCTGCTGAGGTGTGACGGCAGTCGTGATTTCCTCTACTCGTGATAGGGCGTCTGCCACGACGTTGTCTGGGCCCGCGACGTATCTGATGTCCGTGAAAAACTGGGCGATGTAGTCCAGTCTCCTGTATTGCCAGGGTGAAGCTCGTTCCGGTTTCTGTTGGAATGCGTGAGTCAGCTGTTTGTGATCGGTGAAAATTATCACGTCGTCCTTCAAAGATGTGCCTGAAGTGCAGTACTGCCTCGTAGATTGCTTGGAATTCCCTGTCGTAAGCTGCGTGTTTCTGCGAAGAAATTCCAAGTTTCTTGCTGAAGAAGGCTAACGGCTGCTAGGAACCGTGGTGTTCCTGCTGTAGAACGGCGACGATCACATGATCCGACGCGTCTATGAAGATAGCCCACTCTGCCTTGATATTTGGATGAGACAACAGAGTGGCTTCTGCTAGCGCTTGCTTGCTGCNGAATTCCCTGTCGTAAGCTGCGTGTTTCTGCGAAGAAATTCCAAGTTTCTTGCTGAAGAAGGCTAACGGCTGCTAGGAACCGTGGTGTTCCTGCTGTAGAACGGCGACGATCACATGATCCGACGCGTCTATGAAGATAGCCCACTCTGCCTTGATATTTGGATGAGACAACAGAGTGGCTTCTGCTAGCGCTTGCTTGCTGCGCGTGAATGCTTCTTCAAGGGCTGGAGAACAGGCGACTGGTTGCTTTCCCTTGACGGTCATCCCGTGAGTCGCGGCGTTCAGCGGGGCGAGGATTTCTGCTGGTCCCTTGATGAACTTCCGGTAGAAATTTAGAGTTCCGAGGTATCTGCGTAACGATTTAACCATTGTTGGCCTTGTGAACTTCAGGATCGCGTTGACTCGATCTTTGGGGGGTTTGATTCCTTGAGCGTTGATCACGTGTTCGAGGAAAAGTACCTCTGGCTGTCCGAGGACTGATGTGGCGACGTTGATTATCAGCCCGTAGTCCTGGAGTCGTTGGAAGAGGATTCTCGGGTGCTCGCGATGTTGCTCCGCGTTTTCCGATGCTACCAAGATGTCGTCTATGTACGGGAACAAAAATGGTAGATCGCGTGTGACTTCGTCGATCAGACGTTGGAATGTCTGAGCTGCGTTTCTGAGGCCAAATGTCATGTATGGGAATTCGACGAGTCCAAATGGCGTGATTATTGCCGTTTTCTGGATGTCTTCGCGTGCCACTGGAATTTGGTTGAAGGCTTTAACCAAATCTATAGTGGAAAAGATTGTTTTGCCATGAAAGTTGGCAGCAAAATCTTCTAGATAACGAACAGGATACTTATCTGGTATTGTCCTATCGTTGAGTGCGTGGTAATCACCGCATGGCCTCCATCCGTTGCTGCCCTTAGGGGCCAGGTGGAGCGCGGATGCCCAGGGACTTTCAGATCTCCTCGCGGTTGCGAGCTTCAGCATGCTGGAGAACTCCGCTTGAGCGGTTTTGAGTTTATCCGGCGCTAGGCGGCGAGCTCTGCAGGAGATTGGTGGTCCTGGTGTTGTCCTTATGAGATGACCGGTGGAGTGCTCGGCTTTTCTGAGCAATCCTCCCGGTTTTGTTATTGCTGGGAACTCTTTGAGGATGGACGCGTACGGTGAATCCTCGTTGATCTCGAGGAGCTTGACAGACGTCGCGCGGAATCGCGCGGACTGGCCATTCGATTGGAGGCCTGTCGCGCTGTCGATGATTGCTCCGTTTCTCAAGTCCGGTAGCAGACTGAAGTAATGCAGGAAGTCAGCAGCGATGATGCGTTTACTGACATCTGCTTCGATGAACCGCCATGTGAAATCTCTGCGAAGACCAAGATCTAGCGAGATGGACATGTAGCCGTACGTGTCGATGAGGGTGCCATTGGCCGCGAAGAGTTTATAGCCACTGGTCTCCCTTTGGCTTGGTGGCCGCCTGCAAGGCGTGACAGAGACGTCTGAGCCTGTGTCCACTAGGTATTGGATCCCAGTCGTCCTGCCGGTGATAAATAGGCGGCGGGATTGTGATTGAGAGACGACTTCCGCCACTATTGTCTCTCTCCGGCGTTTCCCTGAAACTTACAACCAGGTCGACAGTTACGCGCATTATCACCATACTTGTAGTGATACCAGCAGGTGTCAAAATCCTTTGATACTTTCCTCGAGCTGGAGCGTCGGCGCGAGTGGCTGCGCTGACCCTATGAGTCGTCTCGACGTGTTCTTGAACGAGACCGTGGGTCGCGCGTTTGCATGGCGGCAACGGTCGCCGTTAGCTGCTCAATTCGCTCGAGGAGTGCCGTGTTGACTGCGTTGGCTGGCGAGCCGGTGATTGCTGCGACGCTGTTCGTGTTGAATACCTCGTGCACCCTGTCTGCTAGCTTCGCGAGATCATCAATGGAAGCGTTCTCCTTGGTGGCGAGTGTACCTCGCATCTGCTCGGGGAGATGAGACAAACAGCGCGTTTTCAGGACCTCGTCGTCAATGCCTGGAACAAGACTTTTTAAATGTCTCAGGTGCTTCGACGGAGTTCGATCCTCAATGCTCTCCCTGTCGAGCAATTGGATGATGTTCGCAGTCCTGGATTTTGTGAAACATCTGATTAGTTCGTTTTTTAATGTTTGGTATGGATTTGTTACAGGTCTGGAGACAATTAAATGTTCGATTTCTGCCGCGTAAGCAGTGTCGATCAGCGGTACCGTTTTGTTGTACTTATCTGACTCGGTGACGTATCCCAGGTCAGCGAAGTGTGTCTTCAGCTGTGCGAACCACAGCGCGGGTTTGTCCGCGTCGAACGCCCTTGCGATGAGCTTGGGCCTCATTATAGCCGTTGCTGTCGATATGGTGGGAGTCGTTTGGATGTCAGCTGCTTTTATCACCATGTTGATTTCATTTTATTTTACTTCAGAGAAATGAAATCGATGAATTTTACTTCACAGCGCGATTAAGCTTAAGGAATAAATTTGCGAGAAAAATAAAGGCTGTTGTAGTCTCTATTTGTCACCAACACAACACAACGTCTAAGGGTGTTCGGCAATGTGTCGGCGCGAGGTCACAAATATTCATTCGGATATCACTTTTATTCGGTTTGTTTTGGTTCCGCGAAAACAATGGGAAACCAAGATCTTGACGCTCGGACGTTTGGAATGTTCCAGAAATCTCGAGACGCTGTCGTTTAAAACCGAAGGGTGGGTCACACAACGAAATTAATTATTTTCAGAAGCGCGCCACTTAACTAGAATGCACTCGCGGGATTCACTGCAGCACTTGAAAAACTGAGTCGCGCGTGTTGTCCGGAAAAACGGATGAGAACGCATCTACGAGAGAATGAATTTTACAGTTGCCCTGCCGCGCGCGAGACGCGAGGGTTTTTACTTTTGTCGTTTAAAACGTCGAATTTCCCTAATTAGATCACGTCGGGGTCACCAATGTAGGAATTGAGGTTGTTGAGGGATGTAACAATTCACTAACAAATGTAATTAGTATTTAAATTACATTTTAATCAAGACGTTTAGAATATATATACAAAAGAGAAAGAATAATCAAAGTGATCTGATCGGAGGTCAGTGTTAGACTCTACTGACTATCATAAATGGCGTAAGACGGTAATTTGGATACGCGTGACAATAGGTGCGAGTCAGAGGTATTTCATACTGGGCGCGTGACACNGGCGTAAGACGGTAATTTGGATACGCGTAACAATAGGTGCGAGTCAGAGGTATTTCATACTGGGCGCGTGACACAGCGCGATGATGTCACCGATGTCCAGTCGTCTCTCAGCGTTGTCGTATCCGTGCGTGTGTTACGCGTTGGTG